GCACCCTAAACACTTCAGTACTCTAAGTACTGAAGGCAAAAATGGAAGTGCTAATTTCAGGCTCAGTTTTGTCCCCAGCTTTCCACACTGGAATTGGCCAGTCACAAAGCTGGTCCAAACCAAACTCACTGCCATGGAGTTGGTTCCAACTCAGTGATCCTTCCTTGGGTTTCTGAGGCAGTATCTCTATGGAATTAGATTGCCCAGTCTTCCTTCTGAGGAGTGGCTGGTGGGTTTGAACTGTCAGCCTTCTGGTTAGCAGTCAAATGCCTTAGGCACTACGCCACCAGAGCTCCCACACAGAGCTGGTAACCATCTTGAAAGTTATCTCATCCAGCCTTCAGGTATGGCAGAAGCCACATCACTTCAAAATGAGAAGCATAACACACAAGTCAGGCACCACGTCTAGCTACTTTCCTAGACCAAATAAGGGAGGTCCTGGATGTGCTCTCAATCCACAGTACAGCCTATGCCCAGGGCTGCTAGCTTTTCAGAGCTGTTTAGGGAGATCCATTTCTAGGAGCCCTGGTGGCACAACGGTTAAGTGCCTGGCTGCTATCTGAAAGGCTAGAGGTTCAAACCTACCCACCTGCTCTGTAGGAGAATGAGATCCACTTCCGTAAAGACTACAGCCAAGAAAACCCTATAGGGCAGTTCTACTCTGTTACATGAGGTCATTTTAAGTCAAAATAGACTCAAAGATACCTAACAAGAATCTCTTGGAGAACCATTGAAAAACTATGAAAAACACAAGAGCCTAGTGTCAGAGAGGACAGAGCCCTGATGCTTCCCTGACTTGTCCTTGTACTTCCATTCTCTGTTAAAATACTTTTTTTTTTCCCCATGGACATTCAGTTGTAACTATAATATAGTGGTTAGGTGGCATGAATTTTGGAATCTGACAGCCTTAATTGACAGTCAAGCTATACAATCAGCTATTAGATTGCAAGATAGTCAGTCACTCATGCCCCGAGTCTTATAGTTTCCTCATCTGTAAAATGGGATCAATGCCAGCACTGAGACTAATATGAGGATTAAGTGGGATAAAACATGGTCATGTTGGGCCCAGTGCCTAAAACAATAACAGTAAGCATTCAGCAAACATAGCTAACATTATCATCACTTAACAAAATTTATGTTGTTGTTGTTTTGGAAAATGTCTGCATAAATCTGTCACAAATCAGTGAAAATGTCCTTTATTAATGCACTGGTTCAAGAAACATGGTTCTCTTACAGCTAAAGTCCTCAGATGTTCAATGAAGAAGTAAGTCTCAGAAAGTAGGAAAAACACATTAGGGGGCTGCTCTTCCGATCCTCAATTCTGAGGCAGGAAGAGAAGAGCCTAAGGTCTCAGGTGATTTGGGTCTTGAGAGAAGGAAAACCTGGTGGAGAAGGAGGGAGCCTTTGGCATGAAGGCTCCCATAACCCAGGACAATAAAGTCACTAGGTTTATCATGTAGAGCTTGTCAATATGCCTTTGGGAGGGAAGTATTTTTTTTTCCCCCAAGTACTCCAAACACTATTCTATTTCAAAAGTCTTCCCCATACCCAAAAGGCCTTAAGTCATAGAAGTAAAGGTACTTAAACATTTTCTTTGGAGAGTGAAGATTATGTGTAAGATGCATATAAATCAAAAGCAGACAAGATGTATTTTGCTACTAATCAGGAGATAAAATTCAGGAAGAAAAATGGAAGCCTTGGAAGAAGTCTGGGAGGGGCTATCTAGATCTCCATCATCTGGGCCCACCCTTAAGTTGCCTTTTGGTCTCAGAAATCCACTCTTCTGGGCAGTGATTCTTATTCTAATCACACCCACCCACCCTGAGCATTATCTGACTAGGAGATGGAGTAAGTCTGTAGGAAGCTGGGGAAGCACTGCGCATCTGGCCCTGTACCTGGCACCACAGCTGGCTTCACGCCTTTCATATAGATTACCCTGAGCAGGTCAACAGACGTCTTCTGGAAGATGCCAAAATTCCAACCCAGGCTAAATGTAACAAGGATCCTTGGGACTGTTCCTGCATATACATCCAACATGTCACAGAAAAAGAGCCATTTGAGCCTGGTCCTTGCATCCTGTGCTGTCACACTGCTGGTGCCTGTTATCATATGAGGCAACAGACACTCTCTGCACCAGGCATCTGTCTAGAATGCCAAGATACAAGACATACCAGGTGCCCACAAGGAGCATTCAGCGCAGTGGGTAGGACAAGCACAAGAGTTACAGTTTAGAAGACTAGAAGTTCAAGTTCAGAGTGCTTGCTCTAGGGGAAGACTGTCTCTCTGTGGCTCTTGTTTCTAGGACGATCCCAGTGCAGGGACCCTGGGTCCAAAGGACACACTCTGCTTCTGGCTCCTTTCTTGGGGTAGTATGTCCCTCCTTCTCTGCTCCTTTCTCTCTCCTTTTATCTTTTGTAAGATAAAAGGTGTTGCAGCCCACATCCCAGGGAAGCTGTGATGGGACTAAGGGTGTTGCAATCTACCCTTAATCTAAATCCTTCTACACTTGATCGGTTTATCACATCAGATCACACCATGGGGTATCATTACATTATCTGCCACATTACATCATTACATAACTTCTAAATTCAGAGAATCATAGCCCAGCCAAGTTGACACAAATTATGGGAGGACACAATTTAGTCCATGATAGGAAGGTAGGACATTACAAGCAAAGAAACTTGGCATTTGTACTATTGAGATCAGCTTCAAGTCAGGTGATCCTGAGCATATCAACCTAATAGAGTTTCCTATTTCTAACCTGTAAAACTGGGACAAGCTGGACTTCCATCAGATGGTGGCAGCCCAATAGCAGATTCATTCAGTATGATGACATGCATTGTTGTTGTTGGCTGTCGTTGAGTCTGTCCATGACTCATGGCAACCCCACGCACAATGGAACAAAACACTGATCAAGCCTATGACATCCCTACGACCAGTTAGAAACTGGACTGTTACGATCCAAATGCTTTCCTTCTAGTCTGGAAGCTCTGCTCAATCCCATTCAGCATCACAGCAACATGAAAGCCTCCACTGACAGGCAGGTGGCCACTGTGCATGAGGTGTCTTGGCTGGATACTGACCTGCTTGGAAGGTGTGAATTCTATCTACCATTGAACCAGCAAAGCCTCATGGCGGCATGGGTAAAACATAATAAATAGGCAACTAGCTTTTGCAAGAGGGTTGGGGGATCTCAGGTAACCAGACTGATTGATTCAGGTGTGAGTATTAAATTTTTTAAGTTAATATATTTCATTGAGTTTTTGGTGAAAGTTTACACTGCAAATGAGGTTCACATTTAACAAGTTCTACACAATTTGTTCAGTGATATTACATTTTTCACAGTGTGTCAACTTTCTCATTATATCTGTGCTGGTTGGTCCCTTTCCAGTAATCTAGTTTCCTTGCCCCCTTGCCTTCCAAACAGGTTGATTTTATATTGCTTTCAGAAATCTCTTCTGCTAGAAAGGGGCAAATCAGATCAAAATCATTCCTCCCAAAAGGAATAAAAATGACAACTACTCAAAGCCTTTGATAAACCAGAAAGCCCAATATCATGGCAGCTCTTGCTAATTCCAGCCAGCACCTCTATAAAAGGACCAAGACCACACTACCCAGTCCACCACTCCACTGTCTCTGCTTTAGAATGAACCACCAAGACTTGGGCTTCTCCAGATGCCTACAATGAGAGCCATTCTGCTCGGGGAAGAAGATCAAGGGAAAGAGAAATCATGTAAGACATACAACATAGAGATAGACCAATAGGTACAGGAAAAAACAGAAAAGCATATACTTAACTGGTTGGAAGACCAAGGAAAAAATGATACTGCTGACGAGTCAATTCTGACTCATGGTGTGAGAGTAGAACTGTATCCCTATAGAGTTTTAAATGGCTGATTTTTTTGGAAGTAGACCACCAGGGCTTTTTTCTGAGGCCCCTCTGGGTGGATTGGAACCTCTAACCTTTTGGTTCACAGCTAAGTGTGTTGACCATTGGCACCACCCAGGGACTTTGGTAGGAAGAGGAAAAAGCTAATGAGGAAAAAGCCCTGAGTATCTGGCTACTTTTTGAGCAGAACTCCACAGAAACTGGTACAAATGAGCTGATTTGGGACCTGTCTGTGTAGGACCCGGGTACCACTAGGAAAATCTCTTCCTCCCCTGTTTCACACCTGTCCCCCAAGAAGCCTTTCCCAGTTTGTACCCAGTGGCAGAGACAAGACACACCGGTCTGTGCTTCCAGCCCACCTGGACTTTTCCACCTTCCCAGGGCCTTCTCTCTTTGGGGGGAAGGGGGTATAGGGATCACATTTCAGCCACCCCCACTTCTGCCACAGGAGGCAAAGTGGCAGGGGAGTTTTTGTTTTCTCCCATTCTCCTAGTTTTGTAGACTTTCAATCAGACTGGCGCTTCTTGAATTTCAGTCTTATTCTAAAGGTTTTTTTTCTTCTTATTTTGCCATATCTAAGTATTCCTTGTACTATCATCTACCTAATATTTATTTTGAGACACTACATTTTCTTAAATAACTTTATTTTAAATGTAAATGCTCGATCATTACAATTAATGGAAAATCAGCATTATATATCCGCTGAACTTGACATATATGTATATGTACAAATATATACATTTGCACGTTAACATGAATATATAATAATTATTAAAGTGCCCATTTATATGCCATTTAAAATAATCTCAGGTGACACTACAGGAAACACCGCCTTAGGGGTGCAGCGACTGTCTCCGTTTAGTTGGCCGGAACTCTGGGCTCCTAATGAGAAAATCCAACTTCAAGCTCTTCAATCTCCACTTTCTCCCCCAGGTCAGTAGTGTTCACATTCTCCCCCAGACATACCGGGAAAGGGCGAAGAGCAGGAGGAAAGAAAGACACTAAGAGTTCCCCGTTCCCACTCGGGGCGACGTGAGGACATAGTCAAGAGCACGAGGGACTTTAAACATTCAGTCCTGCGAGTGACATAGGGAGGGAGAGACTGACTGACCTTCTCGCGCAGGGTGCAGTGGATGTCCGAAGCGACGCGTCCTTCCCACCACGGTTCATCCATCATCACGTATGCAGCGCCGCGATCCGAAGCTATCTTGCCCTCAGGAAGCAACCTGCGGAGTGGACACACGCCACTTCAGCGGCCCGAGCGCGCTCCCTGGTTCCGACCCTGGCATCCCTATAAGCGCTCCCGGATGGGCGCCCCCTCCTGCCCCGCTCAGCCCGGCTGGCTGTCGCCTCCCGTACCAAGAAGGTTGCAGTGTCCCCTCCCTTCTGCTTGCTGGACCCGGGGCTATCTGAAGCTTTGCAACAACTTGTAGATTTTTATTTTCTCTTTTGCAAAAGTTGCACAGAAAGTTGCCGACTCCACTAGCTCGCCCGAGGCTGGGGCTAAGGCGGCCGCGACCGGCGCGCCGTCCCCAACTCCTCCCTCGCCGCCCAGCCTTTGTCCTGCTCCCACATCCTGCCCTCTAGCCGGGGCGAAACTCACGCATCCCTCTCCGAGCTCGGGGGGGCTGCGGTGCCGGGCCCCTTCCAGGGCCGAGCCAGTGGTGCCCTCGGGTGCCTGCCCGCGGCTGAGCCCCGGCGCGAGTCGCTCCACGCTCTCGGCAGTCCCTCTGCAGCTGTGCTCGCACTGGACGCCGCCGCGCCCCTGCGTGCGCTCCGGTCCCGCCGCGGCTGGCAGCCTCTCGGCCGCCCGGGGCCTCCCTCCCTCGCTGGGGGAATTGGGGGCCGGGCCTCGCGCATGCGCCACTGGCGCCCTGCTCCCCGAGGGACGGGGGGCTGGGAATTGGAGTCTCCTTCGTCAGCGCTGGCTCGGTTTCCTGCCCGCCCTCCTCCCTCGCCTTGGTGGAAAGCTTCCTCTCACCTTCGCAGAATTCCTGGTGGCCTGGCTGCGGTACTGACTGCTGGAGATGACTGCAACGCCACCTGCGCGCACCACGCGCACCACGCGCGAAACGAGTGGGAGGGATGCCCACCAGAAAGTTCTGCCTCCTCGTGCACTTCTCTAACCAGCTTTCCGTGGAGTCCACCTGATTTTTCTTTTTCTTTTTTTTGTTTTTCTTTTTAACCTGTCCTGTGGTGGGCTAGATTCCCAAACGCACGAATCCCATGAAAGTCCCAGAAAAGTCACTCTTGATTACTTGAGAATTTTATTTCTGAGGAGGCTCAGTAAGTCAACTGTTACTTATTGTGCGCCAGCTCCACGTTAATACTGGAGGAAAACCTGTCTTTGGGGAGGGTTCAGTGGATGGAAAGCATTGTTTTGTTTTGTTTTTCATTCAATGAATTGTTTGTGGAAAGACACTCCCTTGAATCAGTATTGGGTTGCCCTCTTGGGAAGGTGTGTTTGTGTGTGTGTGTGTGTGTGTGTG